TGTTAAGTACAAACTGAGGACTGATGGGTATGGGGGGGAGTGGAAGGGGGTGATGGACATGGAGGAAGGCACTTGTGGGGATGAGCACTGGGTGTTATATGGAAACCAACTTGACAATAAACTATTTGTAAAAATTAAAAAATAAAAATAAATTTAAAAAATAAAAATTCTTTTTTATTTTTGCTCTTTAGCTTAAGTATTTTTCATTACCCTGTCTTCCAGATCACTGATATGTTCTCCTGCATCCACTATACTGCTGTTGATTCCCTTTAGTGTCTTTTTCCATTTGAGTTATTGTAGTCTTTTATTCTGAGTGGTTCTTTTTTATAGTTTCTGTCTCCTCCCTGAAGTTCTCACTGATTTCATCCACTCTTCTTTTCAGTCTGATGAGCATTCTTATGACCATTACTTTGAATTTATCAGATAGATTGCTTATGTTCTTTCATTTAGTTCTTTGTCCGAGGTTTTTTCTTGTTCTTTCATTTGGAGCATGTTTCTCTGTCTCCTAATTTTCCTTGACTTCTTGTGTTTGTTTTTATGAATTAGCTGGAACAGCATTTCTCTGAAACTTGAAAGAATCATCTTGTGAATGGACGGTTATCCCATGTGTAGACTCTGTGTGCCTGGTGACTTTTGCTGGCTGGCTAGAGCCGTAGCTGGGGGTCCTGAGGCACTCCATGCCAGGGTTGTCCTGGTGGGATGCCTGGAGCTGAAGTGGGCATGGGCCAGGGTGGTCCCAAGGCTCTCCACACAGAGTGATCCTTTGCAGGGCAGCTGAAGCTGAAGTTAGTGCAAGCCTGAGGCTCCTGGGGCTCTCCGTGCAGAAGGCACCCTAGCACGTGCCTTAGCTGAGTCTTAAGTGAGCACAATCTAAGGTGTTCTCAGGTCTCTTTGCATAGAGGCCACCTTGGCAGAACAGCTGAACTTGAAGTGAGTGAAAGCAAGGCTGTACCGGGGCACTCTGTACAGGGGACACCAGAGCAGGTGGTTGGAGCTGAGGTGGGTACAATCCAGGGGGGGTCCAAGGGTACTCCACACAGGAGGTGCGCTGGCAAGTCATCTGGAGCCAAAGAGGTGCTAGCCTGGAGGGTTCCAAGGTGCTTTGCACCTGTGTCATGCAGGAGAGACAGCCAGAGCTGTAGTCAGCGTTGGCCAGGGGTGTCCTGGTGTGCATCACACTGGGGCACCTTGGTGGGCTCACTGGAGCTGGTATGGGTTAGGGGCTCAGGGCTCACTGAGGCAGTAAGCTGACTAAGGCTCCTGGACCCTATTCCCATCTATGCTATCAAGGCGGAGGGGAGTAAACTCTGGCACTCGCCAGCCCCTCTGACCTGGACAGTGTGCCAACAGCAGCCCTGCCATTTGGCAGAGTTGTAGGGTGTGCTCTTTTATATTTCAGGTGCTGTTTTCAACTTTGGCCTAATTTTCCTGTGCCCTAGAGCAGACAAGTCTGCTCATGGTCCTTTAGCGCTATCCCTCCCTGCTCCAGTTTGCAGTGGCCGAGGTGGGGGTTCCCTTTTCTATCGTGTCTCCATCTGTCTCGTCATTCTCCGTTTGGTCTTTCTATCATTTGTTGTGCAGAAGCTGTTCAGTCAACCCTCAGGATGAACCCATCTTCTTCAGGATGCATTTCTCTGTAAATAGGTATAGATTGGTGTGTCCTATGGAGGAAGTGAGTTCAGGGACTTCCTATGTTGCTGCCTTGGACTGGAACTCGGGATTATTTTCCTCCTCCTTCTTCCCCCCCTCCCCTCCTTCCATTCCTCCTCCTTCCCCTCCCCTTTCTCCTTCTCTGCCTCCTCCCCAGCCTTCTTCTCTTAAAAACATTTATTTGAGGGGTACCTGGGTGGCTCAGTCAGTTAAGTGTCTGACTTCAGCTGGGTTCTTGATCTTGTGGTTGGTGGGTTCACACCCCATATCAGGCTCTCTGCTGCCAGTGTGGAGTTTGGTTCAGATCCTCTATCCTTCTCTCTCTCTGCCTCTCTCTCTCTCTTTCAAAGATATAAACAAACAAACATTAAAATTAAAAAAAAAATTTATTTGACCCTTCATCCTGCAAAGGATTTGATACAATTACAACATTCACATCTGTGAATCATTGGTGAGGGAGAAAGAAATCAAATTTAAAAAAACATTAAGGCCGTAGAAAGAATAGCACTAATACATAGACAAAAAACACGTATAATCTCTAATATATTTTGAATCTATCCAACCATTTCTCAACTCCACTGCTACTACTGTACTCCAGATCCTCTTCCCTCCAGGCTATTTTTCTCCCACCTCCAATACTGCCCCATTCTCATCCACTGTTTAGAAAGAAGCCAGAGGATGCTTCAGGAATGTAAGCACGATCCTGTTAACCACCTCGCTCCTGCTTAACGGCCTCTACAGGTTCCCTCTTGCATTTAGGATAAAGGTCAATGTCCTTAAATATGGCCCACCAAGCTTTCTGTGGTCTGGTGCTTCCAGCCTCTAGTGGCCATTGTTCATTTTGAGCGGCCCAGTGTCCATTTGTTCTTCCAAATCGCAGCCTGGTTTTCATTTAGGGAATCATCTCTTTCCCATTGGACACAGTCTGGTGGAACCATCAGTCAGGTGCCATGGGGCAAGCATTATTTCTTTGTTTGTTTCTTTATTTATGGCAAGCATGTCTTAAGAGCAAGGCCAATAGATGATCCAAGAATGTGAAAGTTGGTGAAAGTTGACTTACCCAAGGGGCAAGCACCCAGACCTGGCCGTTCCTACTACAATACTCTTGCTGGACTTTCCTGCTCCTTAGCCCTTTGTAGATCCCCAAATCCTACCTATTTGGAAGCCTTTCCATCAATTCAGGATCGTTTTCTCTATTTCTGTAAAGAATGCCATTAAGATTTTGATAGGGATTATATTAAATCTGTAGATCATTTTGGGTACTATGGGTATTTTTTTAAGTTTGTTTATTTATTTTGAGAGAGAGAGACAGTGCGAGTGGGGGAGGGATAGAGAGAGAGGGAGACAGAGAATCCCAGGCAGTTTCCATGCTGCCAGCTCAGAGCCCAACAGAGGGCTTGAGCTCATGAAACCATGAGATCATGACCTGAGCCAAAACCAAGAGTCAGACACTTAACCAACTGAGCCACCCAGGTGCCCCTGGCTGTTTTAATAATATTAACTTTTTCAACCCATGAATATGGGATTTATTTCTTTTATTCCTGTGTCTGCTTTAATTTCTTCAGTGTTTATAATTTTTCAAATGCTTACTTAATCAACTGAGCCATCCAGGTGCCCCGTAAGATCATATGATTTTTAACCTTCATTCTTCTAGTGTGGTGTATCACATTTTTAAATTTTGCTTATGTTGAATAATGCTTAGATCCCAGGAATAAATTCCCTGATTCACAGTATGCGATGTGCTGTTGAAGTTGGTTTACTCATATGTTATTGATAATTGTTTTACCTTTGTTCATTCAGGGATATGGGCCTGTTGTTGTGTCTTTGTCTGACTTTGGTGTCAGAATCACACTGCCCTCATAAAGCACATTTGTTAGTGTTTCCTCTTATTCTATTTTTGGAAAAGTTTGAGAAAGATCAGTGTTAATAGCTTTCATGTTAGGAAGAATTCACCTGGGAAGCCCTCTGGTATTAGGCTTTTACTTTTAGGATACTTTGTATGACTGTTTCAATCTCCTTATTAGTTGTTGGTTTCTTCAGGTTTTCTATTTCTTCTTAATTCCATTTTGGTAGCGTGTACACTTCTAGGAGTTGATCCATTTCTTCCACTATGTTGGCATGTTACTTTTTTTTTTTAAATATTTTTAAAATTTATTTCTAGGAGAGAGAGAGAGACAGTGTGAGCAGGGGAGGGTCAGAGAGAGAGGGAGATACAGACTCTGAAATAGGCTCCAGGCTCTGAGCTGGCAGTCAGCACAGAGCCCGACGCGGGGCTTGAACCCACAAACCGCGAGATCATGACCTAAGCGAAAGTTGGATGCTTAACCGACTAAGCCACCCAGGCGCCCTGGCATGTTACTTTTTATTATGGTCCCTCATGGTCTTCTTTATTCCTGTAGCATCAATTGTGATATCTTCTCTTTCATTTCTGATTTTATTGATTTGAGTGTTCTCTCTTTTTTCATGGTCAGTCTAGCTAAAAGCTTGTCAATTTTGTTCATCTGTTTAAAAAGAACCAACTCTCTTATTAATATTTTCCCCCCTAATTTGTGTTTGTGCATTTGGAGGAGTCATCTCTTCCAGTCTTTACAGTCTGGCTTTAGCAGGAAAAAGAAACCAAAAACCTTCACCAGTCACCATGGCTGGTTAGCAGGGTTCATCAGTGGGCCTGCTGTTTGGGTCCACGGGTATGTGGACCATTTTCCAGAATCTGCAGATGGGTCCACTGCCAGGTTCATGAATAGACAGGTAATGTTATAAGCTTGATAAAGCCTCTTTAAAGAAAGCAAGGGTGGAATGTGAATACCAAAGAGGGAGACATATCTTGGATATGTAGGAATTGGAGTGTAGGAACTTAATGCTACTTGAAGGTAGTTACATTTGAAATGGGTCTTACAGGTTAAGGTAGAACTAGCCAGGTTTAAATCAGGCAGTGACAGGGGCCCGTGGCTCAGTTGGTCAAGGGCCCGACTTCGGCTGAGGTCATGATCTCACAGTTTTGAGTTCAAGCTTAGCTTCCAAGCCTGTCGTGCCCATTTAGCATAAATGGAACTTTGACCTTAATCCAAGTAACTTGCATTTGATTCCCTTCCTGATCTGAATATCTAACATACACATCCATTCTGATGCCCTGCGGCCCACTCAGGTCTTGTGTTTAAAGAGTCCTTGTTGCTACGTAATTATCTGGAAGTTCCTTTCACTCCTTAATCCACCTTTCACGTGCAAGGACGCCTTTGGTGTCTATTTCCTACTAAATATAATAGCAAATGGCCTAGCTTATCCTCCAAGAGGGGTCTCTCAGTGCCTACATTTTGCTACAACTGAACAGTTTCTCGTTGCTGTTGTTGAAGGTTTTGAGATCCAGCATGCGGGAGGAGCTGGAGGCAGCACAGAAAAAAACTTCTCTGCGTGATTTGTTCCACACACCTACCCTGCGCAGAAGGATCTATTTTGCGTCCTTTGTGAGGTGGGCTTCACGCTGTGCATGAAGACTATTCCAATAGTGGAGACACGAATCTATTCCTATCAAAGGGTACAAGCTATTGTGGGGACAGATTTGGAGAGAAAACATGAGGACGCTGTAAATATAATTGCATTTTTAAGGGGCACCTGTGTGGCACAGTCAGTGAAGCTTCTGATTCTTGGTTTCAGCTGGGGTCGCGATCTCACAGGCGTGGGATCCAGCCTCTGGTCGGGCTCTGCAATGATAAGGTGGAGCCTGCTTGAGATTCTCCCTCCCCCTCTCTCTGCTGTTCCCCCTACTCTCTCTCTCTCTCTCTCTCACACACACACACACATACACACAAATAAATAAACATAAAAAAAAGATAATTGCATCTTTTAGTTACACAAAGACTGACCCAGAACTAATCGTACAATGAGTTTTGTTTATTACATCACCTGCCAGGCTCATCGGCTGGAAACTGAGACTGTGAACTTCACTTATAGTAGAGGCTTTGGCTTGACGTTTCTTCACATGTTGGTTCCCACTTTAATTGAGAGAAAACTACAAACAGTAAAGTGTTTGTAGTTTATATATATATAAAGGTACATATACAGGTATATGCACAAACTTATACCATCGATGAATATTTACATATGCGTATATGCAACCGTCACCCAAATGAAGATACAGAAAAAACCACTAAACCCCTAGAGGGCCTCCATATGTATTCTTAATAACTATACTCCCCACCCACCAAAAAAAGGTAACAATTATGACCTCCATCATCATGCAATATTTTAGGACAGTTTTTTGGTTTTTTGTTTCTTTCTTAAATAGTGTATTGTCAAGTTGGTTTCCATATAACACCCAGTGCTCATCCCCACAAGTGCCCTCCTCCATGCCCATCACCCCCCCTTCCTCTCTCCCCCACCGCCATCAACCCTCAGTTTGTTCCCAGCATTCAAGAGTCTCTCATGGTTTGCCTCCCTCCCTCTCCCCAACTATTTTTCCCCTTCTTCTCCCCCCACGGCCCTTCGTTAAGTTCCTCCTAGTCCACCTATACGCGCAAACATATGGTATCTGTTTAAGACAGTTTTTAAATCATTACCATGTAGAATATTCTACAAAACAGACCGTGCCTTTTTACCACCAACCACTGGCTGCCTGTCTGACAATATTTATTGTTGCCATTTGTAGAACAAGGTCTAAACTTGATAGCGTCTATCTTTTCCTTTGGTCCCACAGATTTGGAACCTACATGTCCTTTTATGGCCTGAATCTCCACCTCCAGCACATTGGAACAAACGTTTACCTGTCACAGGTTCTCTTTGGCCTAATCAACTTCCCAGCCAATTATATTGCAGTTTTGGCCCTGAATCATGTGGGCCGTCGAATAAGCCAGACAATTTTCTTGTCCTTCTTTGGAATCTCCGTTATGACCATCACATTTCTGCCTGAAGGTGAGAAAAGAGCACAGGTTGAAGAAAGGAAATATCTCAGGGACTGCACTCCCACAAGGAAAGGGAGAATATAGTTCTAATGATTCCCTAAAACCAATCGGAGGATTTAGGACAGATTCTACCATTAATGTGGTGGCTGGGAAACAGTTAAAGGTCAGGAAAAGTTGGCTCGGGCATATGCCTATCCTCATCATATGTGAGAAGTAGCTGGTAGTTGGTGCCATTTAGTCCTAGAAGTTCCTCTAGGAGAGGAATGCACCCCTTGTCCTTGGGCTTGGACTGATCACACTTATAATTGTAAATGAGGGGATTGTGGCCATTATATGTAACTGTGTCTCATAGGAGGACCTGATTTACTGTCACTTCCTCTGCCTGGTTGCTTTCTTGTTACTACAGCTTTGGTGACAATTTACTTCCTGATGTCTAGTCTTGCATTAGGTCCCCATCCCTGCAATCCTGGTTTAGGGAAACTTTTGACTTCAAGGAAATAAAAATATCTTGTCTTCAGGCACAGAAGTATACCATGGGAGCAAGCAGTTAAGCAGTTAAAGCCTGTCTTAGAATCAATTTTACTAAAGTAAATGATCATATGTGATGAATAGGGGAATCTAGGTGGTCCCCACACTTCACCTAACTCCCAGCAAAGTTGTGTCCTTTACAGGATCCCAGATTGGTGGCTCTGCCCCCATCTGGGAATCAGCAATGATGCATGTTTACGGTGTGGCACATAGCTTACTCCATTGTTGTGTAATGTTTTCATGAGATTTTTTAAAAAAATTATTGAATAGAAAACTGACCTCTGAAGTTTCCTTTCGGGGGTTTCCAAAGTCCAACTATTTTTTTTCCCCTAATATGGATCTTTATTCTTAAATCTCCAAATATTACTCTAGATCAAGCTACCCTCCAGCTTATCCATAAAATAAAACTCCTTTTTTTTTAATGTTTAATTTTGAGAGAGAGAGACAGAAAGAGAGTGAGTGAGCAGGGGAGGGCAGAGAGAGAGGGAGACACAGAATCCAAAGGAGGCTCTAGGCTCTTGAGCTGTCTGCACAGAGCTTGATGCAGGGCTTGAACTCCCGAACCATGAGCTTGAACTCCCGAACCATGAGATCATGACCTGATCCAATGTCAGACACTTAGCCGACTGAGCCACCCAGGTGCCCGGAAACTCCTGTTCTTTTATTACCTTCTACTGCAGTACTAGCACCTCGTCAATATCGTGTATGTACCCAGAGCTTAAAGTTCTCAAGGACATTGGTAAGTTTCACATCCCCCAGTAATTATTCATAACACAGTCCTACTTTACACATGTGAGGCAGAGGAGACACTGGGCAGAATAAATGAAAGCAAACTCATGTTCCCCTTTCCATCTTTGGAAAATCTCTGATATGTAAGAGAGAGGTAATGAAAATAACTCAGGTTTTTTCATCTCTATTGATGTTGTAACATACAGATAAGTCACATTTCTCAGCTACTCGTCACTATACATTCTCTGCTTCTGTGCACTTTCTCTACAATGCATCTAACACATGCAAACATTCTAATTGTGTCTTTTTCATTTATAATTTGGTGGATGGTGGTTCCTTTGGCTCTGATTTCCTTCCTGAGTCTCCCTGGTCTTCCTCTCCAGAAATGCAGACCCTGCGTCTTGCTTTGTCGACTCTGGGAGTCGGAGTTTGCGCGGCAGCAGTTATGTGTTCTTCTGTCCATGGAAACGAACTAATTCCTACTGTAATCAGGTACAAATCTCATGGAAGCTTTAGTAGGAGCAAAGCAGACCTTTCCCAGCAAATTAACATTTATAGTGGGAAGAAAACTGATGAGTTATCAAAAGCATCAATTAGAATAGCATTGACAGTAACAAAAATTGCAGCCAGAATTTATGAAAATCTGCTTTGGCAGGGCACTGGGTTAAGTCTTTTAATGTATCAGCTTACATAAGGTACTGAGCCACTAAATGGTAGGTGCTGTGGGTAAGAGTAGTTTTTAAATAATGAAAATATGTCCTAACCCACTTGTGCACTTGAAAAAAATTGCCAGCAAATGAGAGAGTATATTTGAAATGTAAGAGTATATTGTCAACCTTCATGTATCTAAGCACTGGTGTGGTATCTCCCATAATCAAAGCAAAATTATACATCACAAATTACATGTGTGGTTTGTACTGAATTATTTTTGTATTGTTTGCACCCCAAGGGCAACAGCTCTAGGAATCCTGGGAATTTCTGCTAATATCGGGGCAGCCCTGGCTCCCGTCTTGATGATCCTAACCATGTATTCGCCCCACCTGCCCTGGATCGTGTATGGAGTCTTCTCCATCCTCGCTGGTCTTGTTGCCCAACTCCTTCCTGAAACCAGGAACCAGCCCCTGCCTGACTCCATCCGGGACGTGGAAAAAGAGTGAGTAAACCCCTGGCTGTCCCTTAGGGGAGCTCTGTGTTCTACGTCTGTAGTGAGGAAGGCAAGGCACCATTCAGGGTCACTGTCCCCAGGGAAAGATTTATGAATTTTTTAAAAAAGTAAGCTATATGCCCAGTGTGGGGCTTGAACTCATGACCCCAAGAGCGAGAGCTGCCTGCTCATGCTGCCTGAGCCAGCCAGCTGCCCCTCCCAGGGAAAGATTTAGACCTGGACTGTTCCATGTGGTCAGTGCCTCTGGTTTAGCTACAGCCTCACCTCTCCTGGCACCGACCTCAGACCTCCCCCCCACCCGACGGCCCCCTGGATCACACAGACCGGCTCTGCCCAGCCTGCAGCAGTAGGTTTAGCGGTGCAGAGGCCAACATTAGGTGCCCTTGTGTGACATACACGGCCTGAGGGTATTTCACAAATACACTCACATCCAAACAACAGGCTTTCATCCCTCGGTCCCTGGCAGTCCCCAGCCCGGGGAGTGCAGTCAGCTCCTTGGGGCTGCCGGTTCACGTAGGTGTGAGGACTGCCCTGGTCACCGAAGAATCTGAGCGAGATCAGAGAGAGGACCTGAGACCCACCCACAGATGACAATACATCTCAGAGAAGTCCCGTTGTGCGGTCTGTGACAGTCAGATCATCTGGGTCCGCTAGGAATGAAACTGTTAAGAAAAGAAGAAAAGGGGTAGTAAATTTAGGTATTTTTAAATGATCAAGCTTTGGAAAGGATTTTTAAAACTTTGCAAACTGCCCTTGCTGTTTGCAAATCCCTTTGGCATCCGGATCCCCTGGCGTCCAAATGTGAGAGTTGAAACTATCAAAGCTGCCCTCCCAGATCTTGCCCTGGGAACTTGGTCTCCAGAAAATTTACTCAAACCCTGGGACCGGGGTCATGGTTTTTATCAAAACTGGTGGGTCAAGACTCAGCTTGCTCTAGAGAATGCAGAACATATTCGCTGATTTGAGGTCTTCTCATTTTTGTTCACTGGTCTCGTTGTATTTTTACCAGGAGAAAAGGCTCAAGAAAAGTAAAGCAGGAAAATACTTTCATGAAAGTGACACAGTTTTAAGGAATTCCAGGAACTGCTACTCAAAGACCAAGATAGAGGCAGGAAAATCAGGACCGTTCGCAGAAGTTGGAAAAGTATGTAAAATAAAATAAAAAGATATGATGGAATAACGGATCCCATTTACAATTGCGGTACTAAGTTAACTATGGATAAAATATCTGCAATTAATCAAATAAGAAGTTTGAGAAAAGTTATTTTGAAATTTTTTTTATTATCCAAGTCTAGTTGACATACAATGTTATATTAATTTCAGGCGCACCGCATAGTGATACAATTCTATACATTAAAAGTCATAATATTTTTAAAGGAATCAGCAAAATATATGTAAAATTGTAGACCGCCAGCATGTTTCTGGATAGAAAGATGGGATAGTATTAAAGACATTGATTCTTGATTCCAAAACCAGACAAAGACCTCACTAAAAAGAACTACAGACCAATTTCCCTGATGAACATGGATGCAAAAATTCTCAACAAGATACTAACCAACTGGATCCAACACTACATTGAAAGAATTATTCACCATGATTAAGTGGTATTTATACCTGGAATGTAGGGCTGGTTCAATATCTGCAAATCAATCAATGTGATACATCACATCAATAAAAGAAAAGATAAGAACCACAGGATCCTCTCAATAGATGCAGAGAAAACATTTGATAAAACACAGCATCCTTTCCTGATGAAAACCCTCAAGAAAGTAGGGACAGAAGGATCATACCTCAAGATCATAAAAGCCGTATAGGAAAGACCCACCGCTAATATCACCCTCAACGGGGAAAAACTGAGAGCTTTCCCCTGAGATCAGGAACACAACAGGTTGTCCACTCTCACCACTGTTGTTTAACATAGTGCTGGAAGTCCTCGCCTCAGCCCTCAGACAACACAAAGGAATAAAAGACATCCAAATTGGCAAGGAGGAAGTCAAACTTTCACTGTTCGCAGATGACATGATTCTCTGTCATGACACATGTAACAGACACATGAAAAATGCTCACCATCACTCAACATCAAATACAAATAAAATACACATAAATACAAATAAAAACCACAGTGAGATACCACCTCACACCGGTCAGAATGGCTAATGTTAACAACTCAGGCAACAACAGAGGTTGGAGAGGATGAGGAAAAAGAGGAATGCAAACTGGTGCGGCCACTCTGGAAAACAGTATGGAAGTTCCTTAAAAATTTAAAAATAGAACTACCTATGACCCAGCAATTGCACTACTAGGTATTTATCCAGGGTATACAGGGGTGCTGTTTCAAAGGGGCACATGCACCCCAATGTTTCTAGCAGCGCTATCGACAATATGTCCATCGATGGATGAATGGGTATATACACACATATTCTCAACAATCAAAAAGAATGGAATCTTACCACCAGCAACAATGTAGATGGAACTAGAGCGTATTATGCTAAGGGCGCCTGGGTGGCTTAGTCGGTTAAGCGTCCGACTTTCGCTTAGGTCATGATCTCGCGATTCGTGGGTTCGAGCCCCGCGTCGGGCTCTGTGCTGACTGCCAGCTCAGAGCCTGGAGCCTGTGTCAGAGTCTGTGTCTCCCTCTCTCTCTGACCCTCCCCTGCTCATGCTGTCTCTCTCTCTCTCCTAGAAATAAATAAAACATTTTAAAAAAATAGAGAGTATTATGCTAAACGAAATGAGTCAGTCAGAGACAGACAAATATCATATGACGTCACTCATATGTGGAATTTATGAAAACAGATGAACATATGGGAAGGAAGGCAAAATTAATATAAAAACAGGGTGAGGGACAAAACATAAGAGACTCTTAAATATAGAGAACAAATGAGCATTGCTGGAGGGGTTATGGGTAGAGGGATGGGCTAAATGGGCAAGGGGCATTTAAGGAAGACACTTGGAATGAGCACTGGGTGTTAAATGTAGGGAATGGATCATTGGATTCTACTCCTGAAATCATTATTGAGCAATATGCTAACTAACCGAGGTAAATTTTACTAAATACTCATTTAAAACCTCTGTTGACAAGCCTTAGAGAAATAGGCAAAATTTATAATAATATTCATAAAAATGATAAAAGCCATTAACTTTTAGTGCTGTACCTTTACGAGATTTAAATTTTTTGGTAAGTTTCTGTATTAGAAGTTTAAAAAGGATAATGCAACATTTAAAAATATTCTAAGGTAGCATCAAAAATAAATTGCAAAATAAATTAAAATTTTTCAAAATGGCTATCTACCAATACATATATGTAATAAATATGCACGAAAAAATACATAATTTAGTTTTAGGGACTCAAAAGGGAGAAGCATGAAATTTTCAAAAGAAAAAGTCTCATAATCATAAATCTGTGAAAAGTCTACAAAACCCCTGGGATTTAGAGACAGTCAAACTAAAATAGCATCCTTTGATCTTTCCAATAGGTTTGTAAATAGAGATCTGTAGACTGATGGCAGAATTATAAAATAACATGCTACAGAACATTCAAAACACAGCATGGTGTCAGTATAAAGAGCTTTAAAAGTCTTTAATTAGGGGCACCTGGATGGCTCAGTCAGTTAAGCGTCCGACTTCGGCTCAGGTCATGATCTCACAGTTTGTGGGTCCGAGCCCTACATCGGGCTCTGTGCTGACAGCTCAGAGCCTGGAGCCTGTTTCGAATTCTGTGTGTGTGTCTCTCTCTTTCTGCCCCTGCCCCACTCATGCTCTGTCTCAAAAATAAATAAACTATAAAAAAATTAAAAAGAAATAAAAATAAAAGTCTTTAATTAATTCAGCAACCATTCATTCAGTATATAACAGTCACCCAGCAATTTTCTGGGAAACTTGGATACAAAAAGGAAATGGGAAAAAAAAAACCCAAAACAAAACCCATACAAGCGAATATAGCAGTTCTCAGTTCCCGTGTGCACGTGTGACGTCACGCTTTTATCTTCTACCGGCAACAAAATGTTACAGTCTTCATTCCCTCCGGGCTGAGTTCGTTATTTTCACAAATCCTGCACATCAGAGCTCTCTAGATTTCAGAGGCTCGTACGGTAGCAAGATGGTGGGGTGACAACAAGGAAGAGGTTATATCAGACTGGTTATCAGTTAATATGTTCAAAGAGATTACCCGGTTACTAGGGGCCAGTGCGCATTCAGGCGCAGCGACCCGGCCATGCCCCACGCGGTGACACGCTGGAATCTGGGGTTCCAGTCTGACAGCACAGCTCTTCTGCTGCCCCTCTGGCCAATGTCCTGCCTCCACGGGGTGCTGCCGGAGCTCAGGACCGGACTGCAAGCATTTCTCTATCTTTAGGCCTTCCAGACACTCTTTCTACAAGCTCTTCTCTTACTAGCTCTCCTACATGCCCTCTACTTACCCAATGGGCTTCAGAACTTGAAACAAAGTCAGTCTTAACAGGTTTTTGTTTGTTTGTGTTTTGGTTTTTGTTTTGTTTTTGCTTTTGATTTTGTTTTGCTCTTCACCTGCCAAATGCCTTCCAAGAGATCAAGAGTCACAGGAATGAACCTGCAGGAAGTATTCTATATTCTGCAGCTCTTTTCTGAGGGAGGTGGGGCAGGAAGGCTCAGACCTCCCTAGAACCCAAAAGGCAATGAGGAACTGTCTTATAACAGGCATTAGCAATGTCATCACCACTTAAAAAAAAAAAATTTAATGTTTTTTCATTTCTGAGAATGGAAGGAGAGACCAAGTGCAAGTGGGGGAGGGGCGGAGAGAGAGGGAGACACAGAATCCGAAGCAGGCCCTAGGTTCTGAGCTGTCAGCACAGATCCTGGGGGGGTAGGGGGGCGGCTCAAGACTACAACCTTGAGATCATGACCTGAGCCAAAGTCAGACCTTTAACCGACTGAGCCACCCAGGCGCCCCTGCCAAGTCATCATCACTTAACATGTGCCTTCAGTCTGCACCATGGATTCCATGACTTTATAACATCCACAATGGCAATTGCAAACTTCAGCAGTCCACAGTGGAGCACCAAGTATCATTGGACTTAAATTTTTTTTTGAATGTTTTATTTACTTTTGAGAGAAAGAGAGAGCACAAGCCAGGGAGGGGCAGAGAGAGAGGGGGACAGAGGATCCAAAGCGGGCTCTGCGCTGACAGCAGTGAGCCTGATGTGGGGCTCGAACTCACCAACCGTGAGATTATGATCTGAGCTGAAGTCGGACGCTCAACCCCTTGAGCCACCCAGGTGCCCCTTTTTGATTTAGCACACCAAGCTATTGTGATAATGTGACATTTTTAGTAAGCTTCTTTTCCTCCACTATCTCCATGATCTCTGTAGTGACCTGCTTCCCTCTACCATGGCATCCTCTACTATTACGAAGGGACTACAGGACAATCCTGGGGAAGATAGGTGTTCCTGGAGTACACTCATCTTACTAACACACATTGAATGATGACATTTTCCTACTGGGGACATCCCTTACAATAACGAGAAGTATTACCCATATAGAACACATCTATCCTCACAATACACTCAGCGGTATCAATCACCACTACTTGAATGTCTACAGGTCCCAAAAGTCCCACATACAAAACTAGATCAGTCCATTGTCCAATCCGAAAGTCATTTCTCAATCGCAGTAACGTCAGTTTCCAATGTAATATCTCCTGGTAGCACAGGGAATGATTCCTCAATATCCCAAAAATAGGAACAAAATTCCTTGCTTGCCGTAAATTCCCCAATATACCTTGCTTGGTGCATAATGTGTCTGGTGCTCCTTAGGAGCTGATGGATTTTGGACTTTTCCCCAGTTCTGTTTGTTGTTGAAGGGAATAAAGTTTGACCAGAGACATCACATCAAAGTCACTGGATCAATACTAGTCCACACAGCATTGACCTTACTGAGGGGACCTAGATCGTGTACTGTAAATGTGAGATTCTGGCTCTTAAAATTGCATTGCCATCTTCTGGACTGATGGCCATGGAGAACGTCCCTAATGAGAAAACTATCAATTGCTCCCATGGGTGACCCCTAATGGAATGATCAGATACACACGGTCCTACGGAATGGATCTTTAATTGGCCTGGTTAACTGTCCCATAACTTGAAGAACATTGACCTTAGCTTGCGTCTCTGCTTCTGTGAGTTTTGTTGCCCAAGAAC